CATCCTCGGCTCAGGAATCTGGCCGCCACCGTCACGGGTCCTTCCCAATGTGCAGGCTCCACTGAAATCTGAGAAACTTAGAGTTACCTCGAGCTCCTGCGTGGCCTCCACGCTTGCCCCCATCGATGCCAGCGAATTCCTCGGCACAGTCCTTTGCATTCCAGTTCCAGATTCCTGCACCCCCCGCCCCCCTACCCCGCACCGCAGTTCCTCTCACGGCCCTGCCCACCACCCAGGCCCAGTCCTCAGTCCCACCTCTTCCCCCACCCCAGGCCCCGGGACCCTCATTCCTGCTCCCGCTGTGCTTTCTGTCTAGTCCCCAACCTTCCCCCAAGCTTGGGCCTCTGCCTGGTGGTGGATTCGGAAAGATCTCCCCCGTAACGAACTGGCCGGCTCTGCCGCCCGGGGACCGCCCCCGGCCCCAGCGTCTGTGGCCGTCTCCCTCCGAGTGCCATTGCTGACCCGTAGTTGCTTTGGGGCAAAGCATTTCCCTCTGAGAAAGTTTTACCTTCTGAGAAAATGGATGATACTTGAGGCCCTGCTAACCTCATAAGCTCGTTGTAGTCACGTGAGTATGAACGTGCCCCGTGGCCCAAGAAACCGACACAAATATAGTAGCAACTGCCATGGCGCCGTAGGCTGCCGTGTATAATGCGCTCCCGGGCATAATGCGCAGCCGCGTTTTGGGCCCAAACTTTCAGGGGGAAAAAAATCTTTTAATTTTTTAATCCAATTATTTATTTATATTTAAAAACAAAACCGATGATCCTATTCCAGGGTATTATTTTGCATACGGATATTGTTTTTGCTTTCTAGAGCTACATTTTTAATGCATAGCATAAAAGAATTAAAAACATTTCTATTGATACGGAAGTAGTACTACCCATGTATCATGCGCGTCCTTACTTTTCCCTAAAAAAATTGGGGCAAAAAAGTGCGCATTGTACACGGCAAAAATATGGGTATTTCATGAGTGTCTACCACGGGCCAGGCCCTTCACATACAGCACAGCCGAGAGGCAAGGGTCTTTCTGTCCACAGACGGGGAGAGTGGGGGCGAGAGAGGTTAGGTGACTGTCGGAGGTCACGCAGCTAGGGAGTTGCAGCCCAGGATTCAGGAGCTGCTGCCACATTCTAAGCTTATCATACTCTGCCTCACTCTCCTAAGTGTAGTGCTGTGATTATTTTAAGTGCTGTCATCCACACAGCTTGGGCCGCTGAACCCTGCCTTCACGCCATCTGCTTTGTCCTGGACTCGGGGGGGGGGGGGGAGTATTCCCTGCCCCTCTCCGTCCCTAACCCTTGCTGGGTCCCCACTCCAATTTCATCTCAGTTGGCGCCCCTTTCCCAGACTGTTGGATAGGAGAGAAGGCTTCTGAATGCAGTGCTGTGGTTAACATAAACGAAGACATTGGTACCCCCCAACCCCTTCCCCTCATCTCAGAGAAGGATGAGAGGAACCAAGGACGGGTTCCCTTGAGCCCTGGATACACGCCCCCCCCCCACCCACACGGTGCATTCTTTCCCTCTTCTCCGTACCCATGCAGGGAAGCCCCAGGGTGGCTCTGTGACTACCCAGCTGCCAGGAAAGCTGTTCACGGACTTTGAGGCCTGGAACCCCCACAGACCTCAGGGAAGGCACCCAGAAACCCAAGTTCCTAAATATTGCCACTCTTCCTTCGATGCCATTACTGTCGGTAAGTGGTTCCACCCTCACCTGCCTGCCTTCTTCCCTCCTCGCCCCACAGCTCCAGGGGTCTGCAGAGCTGGAGTTCAAGGTACCAGAAGGTATAAATGATAAAATTCAGAAATCCCAAGCCGCAAGGATTCTGCAAGGTAGCAAGCCAGGCAAATCCTCTGCTTTCTCCTGCGCGATTTCCCTCCTGCCCCTGCCGTGCACGTGGCGCCCTCTCTGGTCAGTTTGGGAAACTGCGTTCTAGGAATGTACCTTTCCTGGAAGAAAGGCAGGAGGCTGCGGCTCACTGCTCTACTCTCTCTCTCTCTCTCTCTCTCTCCCTCCCTCTCCCCCTCCCCCCCCCTCCCCTCTCCCTCCCTCTCTCTCTCTCTCTCTCTCTCTCTCTCTCTCTCTCTCTCTCTCTCGCTCTCCTCTCTGGGCAGACGGGCAACAGCGACTGTACATCTTTCAAGGGAGCCACTTCTGGGAGGTGGCAGCTGATGGCAACGTCTCAGAGCCCCGCCCCCTGCAGGAAAGGTGGGCCGGGCTGCCCCCCAACGTCGAGGCTGCTGCAGTGTCATTGGAGAGCGGAGACTTCTACTTCTTCAAAGGTACCGACCCCGGGGCGGGTGAGAAAGCTGAGACCAGAGAGGAAAGGCGTGCAGCCGAAAGACGGGACGGCTCTCAATTCCAACCCGAGTCTGGGGCTCCTCAATTCCAACCCGAGTCTGGGGCTCGGGAGACGCTCCCAGGAGGTTCCTTTTGTGGTGGATTGAGGAGGGGGGTGTCAAGGTTGTCCTAGAGAGACGAGGTGGGAGGGTTTCAGAGAAGACTCTAGAAGGAAGCCAAGGACCACTCCTGAGCTCTGCAACTCAGCAGAAAGTCATTCCTTCCTTGGGATTCTGGCTCTGCAAGGTCGGGCGTGTCCCTTAGCTCTCGGAGCCTGACATTCTTGAATGGGGAAACCAGCCCCTCAGGCACGTTGGGGAAGAAGGATGAAAAGAACATAATGCCTGAGCAGTGTGCAGTCCATTCGGTAAATAGTTCACTCATTCACTCAACAAACATCGAATGCCCTCTGTGCCCTAGACACAACGGCGGTGTTGGGATACATGAGTGAACGACGCAAAACCCCCTGCCCTCCTGGAACTGTTAGTAGTGATGGCAGTGAGGGGAGCCTGTGGCCTTGCCTGGAGTCCGCTCCTTACCCAGGCTGGGGGCCGACATGTCCCTTCAGCACTGTCTGCCCTCTGCTGGCACCTGCTGGAAGTCCAGGCCACAATAGCCCGTCCCCTAGTCTCCAATATTAGCATGTAACTAAATATTAGCATGTAACTAAATATTAGCATGGCCCATTTTATCAGCAATACTAACCGCCTTGGGCTCCAACACCAGAGGGAGTAGGGGGGTGCAGGGGACAGAGTTGGGGTGAGGACCAAAGGCTGAGAGCTGCCAGCTCACCCCAGCTCTCGCAATGCCCCACAGGGAGTCGATGCTGGAGGTTCCGGGGCTCCGAGCCAGTGTGGGAGTCCCCACAGCCATGCCGTGCAGGGGGCCTGCCCCGTCACCCCGACGCAGCCCTCTTCTTTCCTCCTCTGAGCCGCCTCGTCCTCTTCAAGGGCACCCGCTACTACGTGCTGGCCCGAGGGGGCCTGCAGGTGGAGCCCTACTACCCCCGAGGCCTGCAGGACTGGGGCGGTGTCCCCGAAGAGGTCAGTGGTGCCCTGCCCCAGCCAGACGGCTCCGTCATCTTCTTCAGAGATGACCGCTACTGGCGCCTGGACCAGAACAAACTACAGGTGACCGCCTCCGGCCGCTGGGCGGCAGAGCTGCCCTGGATGGGCTGCTGGCACGTCAACTCAGGGGGCGCCCTGTTCTGAAGGCACGCCCGCCTCGCGGTGAACTGTGGGTGCTCTCGTGGGCAACGTGGGTTCCCTGCCCCGGGGACAGGAGCTGCTGCTGAAGCCTCGGAGCCTCCCTGCCGAAGACCCAGCACGGACGGAAGTTTGTCCGCGTTGGCTCCCTGGAGAATGCGGCATCGTCTTGGTGCCGTCCCCACCCCAGGGTCAATCCCAGGAGAAGCCGGAACGGGTCCCAGACTCCACAGCCTCTTCGCCAGAGACTCTTTCCTCCCCAGGCCTCGGGGATTTTGCTTTTTTTCTGGGAAGGGCTCAGTTCCTGCCCGTGAGGCTGCAGCACGGGGCGACCTAGGAGGACGCAGATGTCGGCAGAGGGGTTGGGACCACACCGCAAGGCTGTCGCCTTCCCTTCAGGACCTTCCGGCTCAATTCTCGGAGAACTGTGTTGTATTTAATCAGAGGCCCGGCCCCCAGGAAGCCTGGAGGGTTGGGTACAAGGATTTCCCACCTCAGAGGCCCTGGGGAGGATCAGGACCCAGAGCAAGAGGGAGACGGCTGCCGTGCCCCTGGGCCCCAGTGTTCTGCAGGAGCCTGGAATAAAGAGGTGTCTCCGGCTGGTGGGCCTGGAGGCACCAATCAGCCTTCCTTGGAATGGTTTCCAGTGCGAGCAGGTGGGCGTGGGTGCTGGAGAGGCGGAGACCATGCTCTTCCCACCAAGCAGGGGCTGGCAGGCTGTGGGGGCGGGTGGTTCTGATGGGGAGAGGGGCCCTGCCTCTCTTCAAAAAGCTAAATGTCCTTGCCCCGCACCGCCGCCCCCAGCCCTCAGGCCAGACGGAGAACCATGTGTGGCAGGGAGAGGGCAGGGGCCTCTCCGGAGGTCTGCACGGCTGCCGGCGCTGTGGGCTCTGCAGGCCGGGGGAGGCCTTGTGCGCACAGTGGCCCCATTCTCCAGGCCGCACACGCTGCATTCTGGGAGCTCCTGCTGGCTGCGCAAGAATAGCTGGGATTCCTGTAGAAGGAACCAGCTCCCGGCGCCGCCGCGCCTTCAGCCTCAGCCAGTCTCAGCGTTTTAGCATCAGGTCTTCAGGTCCTCCACCTCCCGCACGCCCACCCCCCCGCCCCGCCCCCCCCCCGCCCCGCCACATCTTCCGGTGCCTCGTTTGCGCGCTCATTGACCTCAGCCAGAGAACGGGGAGAATGGTTTGGCAAGGTTCAGCCCTCAGCTCCCCACGGGCATTCCTGGCTCGGTGCCTTCACTTTTTATTTTATTTTTCTGCGCAGTGGGGACCGTGGCCCTTGACTGCCCTTGGATGCAAGTGCTTTGCGCCGCCCTGCCCTGGGGGAGGCGGAGGGAGGAGGCTCTCTGAGTGCCCTGTTCTCTCTGGCTGGAAGCCCTGCAGAGGGCAAGGAGGGTCAATGTCACCACCCCTCCGGGGCCGCCTCACCCCCACCTCAAGGCACTGACACTTCGCTTACAGCTTTATTGAATGATCTGAGCGGAAGAAGCAGGTTTCTCAGAGGAGTGAGACGGCCCCGAGGTCATTTTCTCCAGGCATGCTTCTGCCCAGCGAGCCAGAAGGACCTGAAACACCCGAGAGATGAACGTGAGGCTACGCCAGGGGCCGCCAGGGGCCGCGAGTCAGGTGGGCAGTCGGCCCTGGGCGCTGCCAGGGGACGGGAGCCCCCAGGAACTCTACGGGAGGAATGGAGCTCCAGGTGACGTTGGGTCCCGCCATTGGCCACACAGAAGGTGGGTCAGCTTGTGTAAGAGGGGGCGTTCCCGGAGAGCGACTCTGAGAGGGGGCGGCGCTGGCACGTGCTGGAGAGCGCTCGGCGTCAGGGGACAGGAGGGAGTTTTAGGGAATCGGATCGAGCGAGAATGGAGGGCACAAAGGCATTGAGGGAGGGGGGGCGCTCCGGGGTCCCCGGCCGCCCCCACCCCGCCCTAAGCCCTTGCCTTACCCAGATCCGAGTGCTCCAGAATGCAGTGCGCTATGTAGGCCGGGTTGCTGTGCAGGTTCCCGCATTTCTTGCAAAAAAGGATCTCGCAGAGCCCGCAGCCCCCGCCGCGCGGTGGCCGCTGCCTGGTCTGCAGCACGCACTGCTCCTCCGGGAGGCTCCGCCTCCTGCGAACAGGGACCCTGACGCTCAGGGCGCCGCGCCGTCCCCTCCGGTCCAGCCGAGTGGAGGGGCGCGCCCTCCCTCACCTGTCGGCCTGGGCGCTCAGGCCGCCCAGCAGCGCCAAGGGGAGGAGCCAGCCCCAGAAGCCGAGGTCGGCGCTTCGCAGCAGCGCCACCTGCTGGGTGCTGGACTCCTGGCGCAGCGGGCAGTAGGACACCGAGCCCTGCTCGCGGCCCTCGCCGCCCTCCGCCTCCTGGCCCTCGGCCTCGCTCTCGGTTGTGCTCTCTTGCGACGGCCTCCCCTCGTCTTCCTCCTCCGATCTCTCCTCCGCTGCCTCCTCCTCCCTGACCCCGGTCTCCTCCAGCTCCTTCTTCCACAAGGGGGTCTTCACGCCTGCGGGCGGGCGGAGAGGTCAGTGCGGACTGACTGCCCCTGGGTACCCTGACTGTGACCCACGACCCGACTCCCCTCGTCCCCCGGCCCCTCTCCCCCAAGTCAGGCACCTAAAGGATGGCGCTTACGAGCCAGCAGGACCCCAAGAGAGTTACAGTGCCCAGGACTTCCAGGGCCGGGAAGGGCCTGCCTGGCTGCCCGCCCCGATTTCCCGGGTTTCTGTACGTCCTCGGGTTAAGTCGAGTCACGTTGCCCCTGTCAAGCCCCGTTTCCTTATCTGTGCAACGGGGGAAGTAGTGCCTATCTCAAGGGTAGGTGTGAGCTAGGTATGAGGTCACTGTGGGTAAGGGGCCCAGCTCCTGGCTGGGAAGCCATCCACAGGAGGCCGCAATGAGAGGTGCGGCCCTGGGACCGAGGGAGGCTCCTCCCCTTCCTTCTGATTGGCCCGCAGTGGGCACTGGTCCCTGTGTGGCTTATCCATGAACATTAAGTGCACTGGTTGGAATTCTAGCATGTGGCGGAATTCTAATTCTTTAAAGATGGGACTTCCTTCTTTAAAGTAGGTCTTGCCTTAAGGAAGCCCAGCATCACCTGGGGCGGGGTGGGTGGACAGGTGGGCGCGAAGCACCTCCCTGGGACTGGAAAAAGGCACCTCGCATGGGCAGAATAATCAGAAAAAGTGTCCCCTGTGGGCAGACCAATTAGGAGGAGGTGTCTCTTTTTCCTTCCAGGCTTGAGCCCAATTTCGGGCAGATATCAGCGCCTGCTGACCCCTCTAGCTGGTGCCTTTGTCCACAGCACAAACCCCACAACTCCAGGTGGTAGCCCCTGCAGGCTGGAAGTTCCTGGGCCCCCAGGGAAAGGAAACTGCCTCACTGGGAGGGGTCCACCGCCCCCGCAGACACTGGCCCTCGGCTGCATCTGGGGAGCTGGCCTCGAGATGGGAAGGGGGAGGAGGGCAGAGAAGGCACGGCCCCTGGGGTTCACCCCAAAAAGGTCCAGGAAGATTGCCAGGGACCCCGCCCAGCCTAAAGAGCTTGGAGACAAAGGGGAATGACAATGAAACTCGTGTTCCAGCCCACGGGTGTTAGGCACCCACCACAGGCCGTCACCGCCCCAACCTCGTTCACACGTTGCGTCCCCTCATCTTCACGCCCTTCTGGCAAGTGACCAGGTGGGTTGCAGAGGGGCCTCTGAATTTCCTCCGAGACTTTGGGAAACCTTTCAGGAAAAGTTACTCCCAAGACTCTGCCAGCTCTTGGTGTTGCTCAAGTGGGAGACCTGGGGCCCACTCTGCTTTTATTTAGGAAAACACATCTAGGGGCCCTCTGGCTGTGAGAGGCCGGACCGAGTGTGCGGCCAGAAAGGGGTGCTGGGCACTTTTGGGGGGTGGGGGGGGATGGGAAAGAAGGTTGGGACTCTGGGTGCCGGGCCATGGAGTTTGGACTTGAGCAGCCTCTGGAGCTCCCAGGGGGACTCAGCCAAGGGCCCAGAGCTGAACTCGCGTGTCTGGGCTCCACTGCCGAGTCTATTTCACGCCCACCCTACAAGCGCTCACGCAACCCCAGAGGCCGCGTGGCCCTTCGGCAGTGGGAGGCCACAGGGCATTCCGACGCAGGGACACACTCAGAGCCGTGTTTTAGGTCGCTCCCTCCCGCAGAGGGAGACCCACTCAGGAGTCGCTACAGCGGTCCAGGCCGGAGAAGACACAGGCCTGAACAGCAGGAGGTCAGGACAAGGAGCAGATATCAAGACATTCTGGAAAGAGCAAGGAGAGGGTTTGTGCGTGGAGGGGCAGCATCGAAAAAAGGCTGGCGTCCACCCTGGGGGTGAGCTGCAGCGTCCACCCCGCCGTCAGGGGACCTGGTCCCCTGGGCCCACCCTGCCTGCGGCCCACTCACCGTGCTTATCCATCCTTCCCGAGGCCGTGCCGCCCTCTTCTCCTGACCAGAGCTCGGGGTCAGAGGGGGCAGCCAGAGCCCTCGGAACCTGGTCCAGTCTCTAGGGCCTCTGTCGGGTCACAAGGGGTGGGGCCAGAACCTCACCTGCCCCCAGGGTTCCACTCAGGCCTTTTCTAGAACCTCCCAAAGCACTCCAGATCCAGACGCCCCCTACCTCCCCTCGTGAAGAGGCATTCAAAGAGAATAGAGGGTGGGTTTGGCCCCCAATAGGCAGGGCTCACACTCGCCCATACACATGAGAGGCGTCTGTGCCTCCGCGTGTTACCCTTCTGACACTGTCTCTTCCTCTGTGAGTCAGGTATGGGGGGGCGGGGGCAGGGAGGGGGTGCACACCACTTCCTCTGGCCCACGGAAACCACTTAGAGCCTTGTTTACTGGCACCATTCTTTCCTCTCCCCCCTTTCTGTTCTACCGCGGGCCTTCCTCAACCCTGCTCCCCGCTGCGCCCCCTGCTGCATCATTGCCTTAGCTCAGGGGAGACCCCCCCGCCCGGTCACGAGGACGCGCAGTCGACCCTGCGGAGAGGGTCGTGAACGTGAGGAGCTGAGGCCTCCCGCCCGCTCCGGTTTCCTTGGTCCCTCATCTGGACCACGGGCACCGCAACCATGTCCGGATGCCTTGGAAGGTCCCTGAGCCCTGGCCCGTGTGGCTCAGTTGGTTGGAGCATCACCCCCGTGCACCAAGAGGTTGGGGGTCTGCCCCCAGTCAGAACACACGCCTAGGCTGCAGGTTCGATCCCCGGCTGGGGTGCATATGGGATGCAACCAATGGATGTTTCTCTCTCACACTGATGTCTGTCTCTCTAAAATCAATAAATATATTTTTTTAAAAATTTAAAGATTTTGAACCATCATTTTTTTTTAATAAAAGAAGGAAACTTCCCTTCTCAATGAAAAAGAAAAGCCCCGCGTCATCTGAGACCCACTTCCTCTCTGCCTCGTGTTTGCTGTGCCCGGAGCAGGCCACGAGCCCCCCCCCGCCCCGCCCCCCTCACGGCTGTTCCCTCTGCCCGAGTGCCCCTCCCGCAGACAGCCTGCTCCCGTCCTTCTCCCCGTTCACTGCTGTCGCATCCCGGTGGCCTTTCCCGGCCACCGTACGGGAGATTCGGCACACGCCCCCATCTCCCAGAGCCCTTGGGTTTGCCCCCTGGCACGGATCAGATCGCTGTCCGACTTTCCCCAGATTTCCCCGTGACCCATCACCCCGCAGCCGCTGATATGCAGGCAGCCTCCACGAGGCCGGGGGCCTCATTTCCTCTCCGCAGTTAGGCCTGTATTAGTGCGGGTGCACAGTAGGTACTCAAGACATACTGGTTGAGTGAATGCACTGCTGTGGCCCTGGGCGACGGTACTGAGACCCACAGCCCACTGCAGGGGAACCCTGCAGTTGGGGAGGGGGGCAGGCAGGCTCTCCAGGGAAAGGGGGGCTGGGGCGCACAGACAGGGTGGCCGGGGAGTCGCTGACACCTGGGACCCGCCTAGTCCTGGGCATGTGCGTGTTCTCACGGCCTGACACTGTCCATGGATGTTATACCTTTTATTTACTTACTTATTTTTAGAGAGGGGGTAGGGAAGGAGAGGGAAACATGAATCAGTTGCCTGTCACACACCTCCAATCGGGGTCCTGGTCTGCAACCCAGGCATGTGCCCTGGCCAGGAATCAAACCGGCGACCTTTCAGTTTGCAGGACAGTGTCCAACCCACTGAGCTACGCCAGTCAGGGCCACATGCATTATACCTTTGTTCCTCACACCCACACCGCCCCAGAGAGGTAGAAATTATTATTCCCACTTTACAGCTGAGAAAACTAAGGCCCGGAGAGGCCAGGTAGCGCATGAGTGTCACAGGGGTTTAGCCAAGGGTCCAGGGCTGAACTCCTGTCGTTAGAGTCCATCGCCGTGTCTAGTTCATCCCCACTCTGCAGGGTTCACTCAACGCCAAGGGCCACAGCACCCCTGGCCCCACTTTCCCTCCCCCCACTCCCCAGGAGCCCCGCTGTGCTCAACCCCACCTCTCCTCCGGCTCCAGGGCGGGCCGTGCAGGGCCGCCCTCGCCTGCCAGGGAGGGCTGACCCGGAGGGAGTGTTTGTAGCAGCTGCAGCCGTCTCCAAGGAGAGCAGGGGAGAAGAGAGTGGAGAGGAGAGTGGAGAGGCTCCGCTGCCCCCCGGCTGGCTGTCAGGGGTGGGAGGCGCCCAGAGCGGCCTGTCCAGCCCAGAGGGGAGACAGGAGTGTCCTCACCTCCATCCGTCCTGGCGGGTGGCCTTCGAAGGGTCTGAGGTCACCGAGGGCCCCCCAGCAGGGAAAGTTCTGGCACAGACTGAGGAATGCCGGGGAGCGGGGGTTGGGCAGGGACCCGGCCGGCCTGGTGGAAGCAGTGGAAGCCAGGAGCAAGTGGCTGAGCCTGATTCCCAGGGGAACCGGGAGTCGGGGGGACCAGCCAAGACACAGCAGGCGGCGGGACTGAAGCCGAAGCAGCAGGAGAAAGGAGATGCCCACCTCCTCCCCTGCCCAGGGTCAAGCCATGTCCCAGACCGGGGGACGAGGGAGGAGGCCCAGGTCCCCAGGGCCGCCGCTGTGCAGCATCCGGCCCTTTAAGTCCAGCGAGCAGTACCTGGACGCCATGAAGGAGGACCTGGCCGAGTGGCTCCGGGACCTCTACGGGCTGGACATCGACGCGGCCAACTTCCTGCAGGTGCTGGAGACGGGCCTGGTGCTGTGCCGGCACGCCAACGCCGTCACCGAGGCCGCCCTGGCCTTCCTGGCGGAGGCGCCTGCCCGGGCCCTACGGACCCCCATGCCGCGGGCTGGGGTCTCCTGCAACAGGGCTGCCCAGCCGGGCACCTTCCAGGCCCGGGACAACGTCTCCAACTTCATCCAGTGGTGTCGCAAGGAGATGGGCATCCAAGGTACCCTCCCGGCCCTCCCCTCGCCCAGACCCGTACCTCGCTGGGTGCCCACCTCCTCTCCGAGGCCCAGGCTGCCCTGAGGGCTACAGCCAGGGTCTTCCTTCCAGAGTTGCCTTGGGCCGGCTCACCCCTTCCCTTTCATTCTTCAGTTTCCCTGTCTCATGGTAAATCCTCACTAAATCGACGTGTTCATTGAATGATTCATTCATTCCTTCAACAAGCACATACCGAGTGCCCCTCCGTGGTGTAAGGCGCCGTGCTGGGCCCTGAGGACGGGACACTGACGCCCAGCGTCCCAGGAGCTCAGGGTGGAGGAAGGGAGGTGGCCAGGGTGCAGACTCCTAAATCCCAGTCGCGTGTGACACACGCTCAGAGCAGAGGCGTGTGGGCTGGGGGACCGGGGGGGGGGGGAGTGGGACGGACACGGCGACCCAGTGGGGTGGAATATGAGGGCGGAGAGTGGCCACAGAGAGGAAGGGGATGTGAGCTGGGTCCTGAGGCATAAAGAGAAGTTTGGGGGAAGGGAATTCCACTCAGGGGAACCACTGGGGCAAAGGCGTTTGGTGACTGGGAGACACTGCGGGGGTGGGGGGTGGGGGGGGTGGAGCCTGTGGTGGCGAGAAAGCAGGGGAGGAAGACTTGGAGGTTAGGCAGGGGCCAGGCTCGCTGGGGCTCATGAGACTCAGGAAAGCGACACGTCGTCGGGACGCTTGTCTCCTTGGCCTTGGACTCAGTAGTGGGATGGAGCTAGATGTTGTCACATCCTCCAGGTCAAAGGCCACAAGGTGTGCATGGGGGGGGCAGGGTGAGGCGGGGCTACTGGCTGGTGGTAAGGCCGCGAGGGGCAGGACTGGAGGGGGGAGCAAAGCCAGGGTTTTATCGAGCACTTATTACGTGCTGCGCTTCCTCTGCAAACACCAGCAACTGTCCTCACAACCATCCACTGAGGCAGACTGTGTGCCCATTGCACAGAGGAGGAGACCGAGGCTCAGGGACTGGCCCCAGGTGGCACGGCTGGTGGGAAGGAGTGTCAGGGGCCCCTGTCAGCCCGGAGGCAGAGCCTGCGCCCCCACCCGGCCTGGTTGTGCGTGGGCTGCAGGCTGAGTAGGAGGTGCCTGGCGGGTACTGAGGGCAGAGGAGCAAGCGGAACAAACTGCTTCTCGCTCCTGGGCCCGTCCTGGCAACCGCGTGGGGAGGAGGTGGAGTTAACCCTTCTCTCACCCCGGCTCACAGCCAGGCCCCGGGGTCCTGTGCTTGGCTGTGTCACCTCTTCCCACCCCCACCGCCGCCACCTCTCCTGTCCTGTGGGCCACCTTGTCCGCCCTCAGTGCCCGGGCCCCTCTGCCCGGGCCCCTCCCCTAGGGCCTTGGGAGCCCCAGGGCCAGACTTCCTGCCGCCCGGACCAGGAGTGGCCCCTGGGCTCTCCCACCCGCTGGGCTCCGGGAAGGCCAGCCGCCGCCGCAGGCTGCCCACCGCTCCCTACTCCCCCTCGCCCCCCGCCAGAGGTGCTGATGTTCGAGACGGAGGACCTGGTGCGGCGCAAGAACGTGAAGAACGTGGTGCTGTGCCTGCTGGAGCTGGGCCGCCGGGCCTGGCGCTTCGGGGTCGCCGCGCCCACCCTGGTGCATCTGGAGGACGAGATCGACGAGGAGCTGCGGCAGGAGCTGGCCCTGCCCCCGCCCGACCCCCCGCCGCCCGCGCCCCCCAGGCGGCGGCCCTGCCACTTCCGAAACCTGGACCAGATGGTGAGCCCCTCGGGACACGCCCCCCAGGCCCCGCCTCCCAGGGCCCGCCCTCCTCTGTCCTTCCCCCTCCACACTCCTGCCCCGCCCCCGGCCGGCCACCCCTTTCTTGAACTCCACTCCGCACCCCCAATACTAATCCACTGCGTGGCTTTAAGTCCTGTCTTGTTCTGAGCCTCAACCTTAATACATATAATATTATGTATTATAATAGCAGCTAAGCCGCCTGGTACGTTTTTATTACAAATCCAGTATTCTGCACCTCCCGCACCTAACGACCCCCGGGAGAGCGCTTTGTAAGAACCCAGCCGCTGGCACCGTCTCTGACCCCTGGGGTCGAGCCTGAGCGCCCCTGCTTCGCAGCGGGGGGCTTGGGGCTAATTATTTAACCTCTGGGTGCCTCCGTTCCCTCCCTGCAGCGAGGGGGCAGTAAGGAGTACCCAGCGCCTCCGACCGACACGTGGAGTGTTCGGGACAGGGTCTGGCCCAGGCGCACGTGGGCCGGAGCACCTCGCTCTCGCTGGGATGAACCCCGTGCCACCCCCGCGGAGCTGGGGGTGGGGAGGTTTCTCAACTTGCCCGAGGCCTGTTACAGCCGAGCGGCAGGGGCGCTGATCCACCCCGTGCGATTCCAAGGCCCACCTCTTCGCCGTCACACCCCACACCCCACCGCCGTCATCAGCTGACCCCAAGGGCACTGGGCCATAGGTCTCCGTTCTCGCTGGGTCGTTAAAATTCCCCCCTACCCGGCCCTGGCTTGGGTGGCTCAGTTGGGTGGAGCGTTTCCGGTGCACGTGAGGCCTCGGGTTCGATTCCTGGTCGGGGCACATGCCTGGGTGGCAGGTTTGGTCCCCGGGCCCGGGCGTGTGTGGGAAGCAGCCAATTGATGTTTCTCTCTAGAAGCCTTGGGGTGGCTCTGGGGGCAGGCAGATCTCCCCCCCCCGCCCCACTGGGCTTGACCTGGCGTGGGTGGTGGGGAGCTGGGGCACAGGTGCGCAGGTGCACAGGTGCGCAGGGAGGGCTGAGCCCACACGCACTGCCCGCAGGTTCAGAACCTCGTGAGCCACTGCACATGCCCAGTTCAGTTCTCCATGGTCAAGGTGTCCGAGGGCAAGTACCGCGTGGGGGACTCCAACACCCTCATTTTTATCCGGGTAAGTGCGGGGACAGAGGTAGTAGGGCCCCCAAGGTCAGCAGACTCGGGGTTCCTTCCATGGGACCCTGCCCAGGCCCGAGGGTAAGGACAGGGAGTCACCATTCACCCCTTGGGGCTTGTTCTCTCTCCCTGGAAAAATTCCAGAAGATTCCTCACAGTTGGCAGGCCTGTCTATCCCCCTGGTCCCACGAGCGCAGCCAGAACCACCCCCCACTATCTGCCTGCAGCTCAGCCTGACTCTCAGGGGTCCCCAGGCAGAAGCGGGGTGTGAGGGGTACTCCTTATTCCCATCACCTCTACCCCGGCTACAGGCTCAGTCCGAGCGAGGGGCTTGGGAACTCCAAGTCTTCATGCAGTGGGCGACCCAGGCACGTGGACCTCACGGTCCCCCTCTGAGGCCTGACTGGGTGCATTCTGCAGAGCGAGCGGGTGTAGGAGCCAAAACGTGCCGCCCACTGCCTCCCCCACCCCTGCGCAGGCCGATCCACCGCCGAGACAGCCTGTACCCAGGGGCGTGGCCGAGCCCCGGAGGGCGCCAGCCACTACGGGGGGGGGGGGGGGCGTAGCCAGCTCCGGCTGGCCTCCCTGACCCTGAGCCAACAGCCCCGGAGGCAGGATGGGGCAAGGGACTGCGGAGGCAGGACGGAAGCCTGGAGAGGCGCTGCGACCCAGAGCGCCGTGGGGCTGAGATCCCCCCCATTCTCTGACACACACACACACTGCAGGCAGAGCCCGGGCCCCATTCCTAACGCAGGCACGTGCAGGGGAACCCTGCAGCCGAGGGAGAGAAGAGCGGGCTGTGAGGGCCCCTGTCGCGTTGTGGGCCACCTTGTGTTTGTCGGCCCGCCCCCACCCTGGACAACGTGTGTCATCTGACGCCTGTCCCGGAGGAGACAGACACTCGCAGCCACACACGCGAGCCAGAGAGCGTTTGCTTGCTGCATGCGCACACGGACTGGGACGGGGGCGTGCGCTGGAAGACGGCAGGCTGGTCCGGAAAGAGGGGACACTCCCTACTTTGCCCTGAATCTCACCCTTGCCCCCTGCAGGTCCTCCGGAACCACGTGATGGTGCGAGTCGGGGGCGGCTGGGACACACTCAGCCATTACCTGGACAAACACGACCCCTGCCGGTGTACATCCCTGTGTGAGTGCCTGGAGAGTCCCCTTCCTGTGCTGTGGGTCGGGAGGTCGATAGTGGGAGTCAGGTTGGGTCTCCAGGGGCAAGAGGTGTGGAGGGGTGTACGGAGACTGGCAGGTGCTGCAGATCCTACCGTGTAGAAGGCACAGGTGGGGCGCGGCCGCAGCCCTAGAAGGAAAGCCGAGCTGGCATCGTGTGCAATACCAAGTGTAGCCACAGGATGGCGCCAAACACCCAGCGAATCAGCGTTTGCTGGGGTGCCTCTTAGGCAGGGCTTAGTCCGGCTCTGACGCCCACAGGGGTGGCACCAAGCCTGACCTGAAGGGTCTTTAGCCCTCCAACAGTGTCCATCAGCACCTCCAGCCCACAAATACGCATGCTCTGTAAGCAAAACGCGTGGACTTGCAATACAAACACAGCTTTAAACAAGAACCCCCCCCTGCTAAGCCCTCTGACCAGATTTCATCCCCTGGCACCGCCCCCCCCCCTCGCCGGGAGGAAATGCTGGCACGGGGGCTGTCCCCGTCACTGCCGCCGTGGGCCCCCTGTCTCTGATGCGGGGTGTGGGGCAGGAGTTGAACCCTGTCCTCCTTTCCTCCCCGGGGGCTGGATTGGCAGCACACAAGCCAGGCAGCTCCCTGAAGCCCCCGGGGCCACCGGCGCAGCACGAGGTGAGGGTGCAGGACGAGCCCTGGCAGCCGCAGCCCACGATGACCGTCAGCCGCTCCCAGAACCCGCCGCCCCCCGTGGACTGGAAGACGTACACCCCTGCCAACCGAAAGCTGAGGCCCCCTGCCCCCTCCCCCAGACCCCGCAGTGCCTGGGGAGTGGGGGCGGGGATCCCCCGAGAGACAGCACCATTCCCGAGGTACTGGGGAGGGGCAGGGCAGGGCCTCTTTCTCCCTGGGGGTCCACATTCTCAGACGCCACCCCCCCTCCCCAAGATAAAGGGAGCAGGTCTCCTGGCAGTGCCCCTGTCCCCTGCCAGGCCTCAGGCATTCAGAACAGGAAACGCACCCAGTGCCTTTGGGGTCCTCTAGTGACTTCACGTGCCCTCCCGTTTCACGGGTGAGGAAGCTGAGGCCCACACAGGGAACAGCCCCACCCAAGGCCTTCCTGCCATCTCGTGGTAGGGCAGACACTAAGACTCCCCTGCCGCCCGAGACTGGTGACCTGTGGCTGCTGCACTTGAAGTAACCCAGGGTGCAGACCAGGCTGCTTTCTGCCTGCCACACAGGGAGGGGTGGAGCATGAAGTTAAACAGCGTCTGCCATGAGGGAGACTCTTGGACAGGCACAGAGGCGAAGGGAGGAGTATCTGTGTCCTTCATGAATCTGGCCCCCTGGGAGTTCTGGCTGGGAAAAGGCCCTTCCCTCCCAGAGCCAGGGGGCTGGACTGGGTGGCCCTGCCAGCCTGGTCATTCTCCCTTTCAGGTGCCAGGAGAAGCCACTCACCCTATCTCGGGAGCACCTGGCAGCTGGGGACAGTCTACCCAGCCCCCAATCCTCACCCACCCCTAGGGGACATGACCCACGATGCCCCTCTTCAGGGAAGAGGGAGGGTGGAGGGAGACCCTCTGAACTCCCCAGGGGGAGGACCCCTACAGCTTGGATTCGTGAGGACACAGACGGCTGGGGAACCCACTCCACGGTCCCCACCCCACAGCGACTTGGAGCTCCTGAGGCCACCGCCACAGGGACACCAGCAAGAGGACCATCCCCCCCGCCTCGTTATTCCAGTTTCACCACGCCCCTGGGCCCCAGGCAGCCACCCCAGGGTGAAGCTGAGGGTGCCTCCTTCCAGCTCAGGGAGCCAGCATCCGTCTGTTCTCCATCGCCTGGTAAAGGGCCCACCGAGACCCCTGTCCAGCTGCCCCCCGCCCGACCGCCCACTCCAGGAGGAAGCTTCCCTGGTACCGCAAGCAGAGGTCCCGAGACAGAATCAGTGAGAAACTCCGTCACACCAAAAGCTGTCATCGGAGTCTCGGCTGGGTCCAGACAGGGGGGCTGCTCTGTGGGAGAGAGGCAAGGGGCCCAGAAGCCGGAGACCTGGGTGCCGGCAGCAGCTGGAGAGTCCCCGGGCCGGGGCCCACAGGAGCAGGGGCGGGGGTGCACTCCCCCGACCTCAGATGGGACCAAGGAGCCAGCAGTCTACCATGGCCTTGAGGAGGAGCTTTCGGCCCACGTGAAGCTGCTGGAGGTGGGGACCGCTCGTCCCCGGGGCCCAGGGTCTGGGCTCATCCCTCGCAGTGGGGTCTACGTCCCCAGCCTGGGTGCGCGGTGGCCTGAGCCTGGGGGTCCTTATGACAAAGTCATCCAAGAACTGGCTCAGGGCCCCCCACCCCTCCATAAAGTCGACCTGGGGGCCTGGAAGGCTGCCTGTACCGGATCCCCTAAGCTGGCTGTTACCACCAGCCCAGGAAGCCCACAAGGGCAGCCGGGAGCCAGCGAGAGTGCGCCAAGGACAAAGGCAGCCGTGAACACCTGGGACACCGGGATGAGGAAGGTCCCGGCTCCAGGAGACCCGGACTGCCCAGTCCTGACTCTGTCTGCCAGCCTGGAGGCCCCCACACCTTCGCCCCCGGACCCAAATTCCGACAAAGCCAGGGCCTGTCCGGGCAAGGGCAAGAGGACACTCCGGAAGCCCCGGAGAGTGCCATCTATTTACAAGCTGAAGCTGAGGCCCAGAATCCGGCCCCGGAGAGACCACAGGCCCGAGAAGCAGCCTTCACGAATCCCCAAGCCCCTGGCCTACCTCCGCCTGGGTCCCGCCAGGGCGCCCCCTAGGGGCAGGCTGGAGGGAGCGTCGGCGCGGGGTGGCCGGGGAGGAGAGGCGGCCCTGGTGGGTGGAGCCTCGGCGGGGGAGGAGGAGGGGGGAAAGGGGAAAGAGCCCTTCGCTCCCAGGGAGAGCAGAGGGCAACCTTCGGGCCTGCGGCCTGGGCAGCCTGACCGAGTCCCACTCCCTCCTGAGGAGGAGTCCTGGGTCTAAGGAGGGGCTTCTCCTCCTGGAGCCTGTGGGGAGCAGAGGGAGGGTCCCACGCCTCGCCACGGGGCCTTGGCAGGAGAGACAGACACAGCCTCCGTCGGCCCGGACCGGCGAACGGGACACCCATCACTCCCATTCCAACGCAGTTAGGATGCGGGCAGCGGGGCCACCCTCTGTGCGATCAACACCCTCCCCGCCCCGCCCCAGGGCCCCTCCCCGAACTCCCGTCTTCTGGCCACGCCCACCGTCCGTTCCCACGACCCTTGTAAGTTATCAAACACTCGGGGGTCTGTCGTTGAGTCTCCATCCGGCTCGAGTCCCTCTCTCTAGGACCGCAGCGATGCAGGAACGAGCAGCCTCGAACGTTCTCCCAGCGCAGGGCCAGGGGACCAGGGCAGGGAGCTGGGGGGTGAGGTAGCCAGTCCAACGTGGCCCCGCACAGCCGAGCCGGGGGAAGCGGCTGGGGCGTCAGCACCACGGACAGGGGCACAGGAGCCGGCTCTTCCTGCGCGGCTGCAGAGCTGCGCCCTGGGGCTCGGGAACGGAGATCTCCGAGTCCACAGGGACGATCGAGAGAGTTCACACGTCCACAGCCTCGAGGTGAGGACAGAGGCCACAGAGGCTCGGCAGCAGGTGAGACAAGGACGCAGGCGCAGAGGCTAGGGCCGAGAGCAGTTATTAAAAGGTTTCCTGAGACAGTGGTGGAGGGAGACGGACGCCTCCCCTCTGGCGGGGTTGGATCAGGGAGGGAGGGCTCGGGGGCAGGTGGAGAGGAGGAGTCCCAGACTCGTGCCCGCAGTCCTCCTGGGTGACCTGGGTGTGGGGGTTCAGGGCCACCCCATCACCCTCGCCCTCCTTGCCCAGCAGAGCCCTTCCACTGCGAGAAGCTGAGCCAACGCCTGGGTACAGAAACGAGGGAAAACACTCCCTGATTTTTAATCTGACTTCCGATCATCGCGCAATGGGCATCACACACACATCCAGACCCTGTGGTGGGGAACCCTGGGGGCGGGGTGGAGGGGGGCGGGGAGGACAGAGAGACTCAGAATGAGGGTGCAGGAAATCAAAATCAAAGACCTGGGGTGAAGCGGAGGGGGTGAGGTGGGCCAGCCAGGCAGTACCATCCAGTGGCTCCCACAGGGGCAGCCAGAGGCCTGGGCCCCCACCCACCCCCACTTCCGGTGCCTCAGAGCCGGGGGCCACGGTGACAGTGAGGTGCTGCCATCCCATCCCCTTCCCACCCGGAGAACCAGGCAGCAGGGCTCGGGGGAGGAGGGGGCAGGCCCTCTTCCGTACCCTCCCAGCCACTCCAAGGTGTGGGGAAGGGGAGCCACCTCCTCTGCTTCAGAGGGAGACTCAGAGGGCAGTCACTCGTCTGGTCACGTAGCACGTCAGGGACTAGAACCCGGGGATGCTGGACTGCCCCACCAAGGCCGTGGTGGTCACTGCAGGGCTGTGCTACCCAGGTGGGTGGAGGGGCATCAGCTGGGGCATTCACAGATTCCCTCTCCCCCTGGATCTGGGTGACAACCCCCCCCCCCCAGATTCCTCTCTATCACGGATCCAGGCTCCGATTCCCTGGTTTACACGGTGCAGCAGGGCCAGGCCGAGGCTGGGTTGTTCCATGGGCCTCTCTTCTCACCAGGGATTTTGTTCCGTCGTCACCAGACCGGGGCAACGGGCTCATCCTCGAGAACTCTGGCCACAGAGCAGGGGACACGCACTGCTTTGTGCCCTCCAAGTCCCCCAGGAACCCCTCAGGCTGCTCCTGGTGTCTCCGTTATTTTTGTTATTTCTGAATGGGTACAAAACTGACAGTAATCAGCTCCGGGGAGGAGAGGTAGAAACCCGGCCAGGCAGCCGGAGAAAATGGGGTGGAGTGAGCCCGGGAACGGAGCCAACTGGGGTCGGGACAAGGACACGTAGGTCCTGGGGGCCTCCATCTAGAGGTGGGAACACAGGCACCTCTCCCTCCGGCAAGGGGTCCCCATAATTCTTTTGCTGGCCCTACCCCTCCCCAGATGAATCAGGGTCATCTGGGATTCAAGCGGGTGGAGTCTGGGGCGTCAGCCTGGGATGGGATGGGGAGACAGAGCCTGCAGTCCCACCACCTGGCCTCCAACCCCCCACCCCCGGAATCGGCCTGTCCCCCACAGCCCCCCAAACCCAGCATCCCCCACTCTAACAGACCACCCAGCGCTAGAGCCCAGCGTCCAGGAACTAAATCTACCCTTTTTTTGGGGGGGGGGTTCCCTCTTCACACGCTGCCAAGAAAAAAAGTTTTAACCCAGGGGGTGATCTGGCTTTGGGGTCAGGAAAGGGGCGAGGGGCACCCGGCAGGGACGGACCATCGAGTTAAGGCTGGAAGGTAGGTTTTTGTGTCTGTGGGGGCTGCTGGGCGGGGAGGTCTCCCTGGAGGGGGTACAGCTCAGTGTTCTCCCCCTGACTGATCTGGGACCTCAACCCTCAGGCCCGACTGCGGCCGGGCCTCGGGCCACCCGCATCTCTCTGTCCTGTGCCGGTGGCGCCGACGGGTGGGAAGGCGGACCTCACGGAGAAGCCGCCAGGGGCTGCAACAACGGGATGGACGAAAGGCGAGCCCTGTGAACGGAGCTGGGGGCGGGGCGGGGCGCCAAGGGGTGGATAAGACCGCGAAGGACCAAGAGACACTTGGGCGGACAGATGGACACAGGAAAGGAATACACGGGAAAACGACAGACACACTCTCGGAGAACACGGGTGGGGGCCAGCTAAGGCAACACCTCCCCATCCCCACCCTCCATTCCCGGCGCTCACCCCAATCCCGCAGGGCTGTGGTGCCCCTAGGGGCCGGGCTGGGAACTGCACTAACTACAGCCCTAAGGGAGGCCGTCCCAGGAAGACAGATGCGCGAGAGGGGAGGACTGGGCAGTTACGGGGTGGCTCCCTCTCTGCCCTCTGCCTCCCACGGGGAGACGCGTGGCCACGGGGGCATTTCAGGCCCGGCACTTGAGAGTTCTCTTCCCGCCACTCGCAGCTGCAGCCCCGCAGTGCCATCAGGAGGCGGCCCGGGCTGTGGCGGCCACAGCCCGCGGGCGGCCTCGGGGCTGGCGGGATGCGCGCGTCACATGATGGCGCAGCGGTTGCGGCGCAGCGCGCCCTGGAAGCGCAGGGCGGTGTGCACGTGTTTGCAGCGGGCGCAGCCGACGCTCTTGAGCAGCTCGCTGAAGAGCAGCAGGATGTGCCAATTGTACTTGGCCGAGCACTCCACGTAGCCACACTTCCAGGTCTTGCGCACCAGGTGAGACACGTTCCAGCGTGGGATCACACGTCCGCGCTGAAGGTCCCGCTTGTTCCCCACGATGATGATGGGCGTCTCGGAGGTGCCAATCACCCTGGGGAACGAGGTGGGACTCTCAGAACTCCACCCGTGTGGCAGCCTCTGGACTTCCGTGAGGGCAGCCTGTGCCTAGTCAATAACAGAACTACCACGTGTCTGTTCCAGGAACAGGGCTCGGCTCTGGAGACGCATTATGCTCTCGGATCTGCACAGCTGATCCAAACGATGGGTACCACGGTTACCCCCATTCTACAGAGGAGGAGCCTGAGGCTCGCAGTCACTGGCCTGAAGTCTCCGTCGGGAGCCCCTCATCTAACTGCCGCACCAGACTAGCCACCCAGTGTAAGGGTCCCAAAATGAGTTCATAGCAAAATGCCACGAGTGCGTGTGTATGGGAACTGGAGGCTACTTCGTCTGCACCCCCCCCACACCTTCACTGCACCCTTTTCACGGGAACTGGCTAGCACTGGGGCACCCACTGAAGTAGCAATGGACCGAATCCCGGGCCCTCACCTCGTCTCTAGGATCTGCTGGCGGATGGTCTTGACGTATTCAAAACTGTCAAAGCAGCAGATGTCGTAGACCAGGATGTAGGCGTGGACACTCCGGAGTCCCCTGCAGCAGGCATCTGCCCACTCCTGCAACACCCCCAGTCAGTGCCAAGGTCAGAGCGGCCGTGAGGGCTCCCTTGGGCCCCAGCCACAGACCTACAGCACCCTTACCAGCCACTGCACCCAAAGCCTTCTGCACCCACTCATCCCCAGGAGGCCAGGGCCAGTGCAGCAGAGTGGAGCTCAGTGCTGTGGCTTCCCCACCCCGTGCTCGGACAGAGCAGGTCACATGGTCTGACCTCGAGGGCCACTTCACGGCCCTGTGCATGTATGGGGCCGATACCTGCCTTGTGCCATTTTGCCCCCCAGTCCATCCATCCATCCATCCATCTTTGTTCGGGTATATTTATAGTGTCTCTAAGAACCCAGCCCTGAGCCCTGGCTGGCGTAGCTCAGTGGATTGAGTGCGGGCTTTGAACCAAAGCATCACAGGTTCAATTCCCAGTCAGGGCACATGCCTGGGTTGCAGGCCACGGCCCCCAGCAACCGCACATTGATGTTTCTCTCTCTTTCTCCCTCCCTTCCCTCTCTAAAAATAAATAAGTAGATCTTTAAACAACAACAAAAAAAGAACCCAGCCCTGAGCTAGCTATTGAACCTGTTGAAGTGGTCTCTAGCTTCTAAGGCACAGCTCAATGCCTCCTCCTCCACGAAGCCTTCCTACAAGCAGGAGGCTCCTCCCTTGGTCTTCTGTGAGCATACCCTGGTTAGGGCTGCTGCCATCCCCAGCTCCCCTCTTCTGCCTTGAGCTCCTGAGAGGGCCAAAGCCAAGCCGTCCTCGTTTCTACATGCCTCCCCCCTCCCCACTTAGTGCCTTGCACTGTGTGGGCTCTTAGCGGGCTCCTTAAAAGTCGCCTGACTGGGTGAGCTCTCCATGGTCCTGAAGTCCAGCTGGGCCATGCTGGGATCAATGCAGCTCCTGCCAGTAATTCCTGCCCTTGGATTGTGCCCCTTCTGTGCGTTCCACCGCAACGCCGAGAAAGAGAAGGCCCGAGGACAACAGACCGAGACGGGATGCATCACGGGGGCTGATGCAGAGCAGGGCCTGAGGCCAGCTCCAGGGAGCCGGGGCT